GGGGGGGGGGGTAAATTTAATTATTAATATATTGTAATTATTATTTTTTTGTTGAAAAATGTAAAGTTATCATTTTATCTTTTTAAAATTAGTCAAAATAATGGTCAATGTTAAATTTTTGATCAGCTAACGGTCAAATTGATAGTTTTCATCCATTTGGATTTTCACTGCGAATTTTTGAAAGGTTTGATATCGTGGATGATACAAACTAAAAGTTTGGAAAAAGTCTGCTAATAAACGAAAAATTTGATGCCAATTTTCCCTTATTTAAATGGTGGCAGAGAAACAGACAAAGCTCCAATTCCGGTTGCATTATATAAATGTAGGGTTTAGACTTTTACTTTCTAATTTGGGAAAAAAAAAATATCTTTCCCTAAAATCTAGGTAGGGGTCACGTGACCCCCTCGGCTGCCCTTGATTTGAAGCACTAATGGGTTCCGATAAATTATGCAACTTTGATATGTTGTGCTTAGATGACTTATTTAACCATTATGTAAATTTTAGAATCGTTAAAGAGTGATAAGTATAGAAAACAATTTTTAGAGACAAACTTACTTAAAATAGTGAAAAATTATTTGCCTTTTGTTAAAAGATTTAAATTTCCTGACTTAATGTGCACTTTTTAATGCTGAAATCCATACTATTTAAGAAGTCTCCCGCTTTTCAGTTTTTGGATAGAAAGAAATGTAAATGGTAATGAATGGGGTTAAACAATTTGGGAAATTATATTCTCAAAGTTATGAAGTGGTTAAATTTCAAATACTAATATGAATAGTATAATTACCCTTAGTTTGTATATACATGAGAACTCATCAACTAACTTAAAAATAGTATAATTACCTTTAATTTCCCCTCCGTTAACAATAATTTGTGCGAAAGTGTGCCCGCAATTTTCAGAGCTTCTCAAATACTAATATGAATGGCACTAAAAATTTGTTATATAAACTAAATAAAGAATGTCCACAAAAGTTCATCTCCAGCTATTATCTTGGAAGGTATTATCAATGGCGTCAAGAACCAATATTTGAATACAGAAATGCAACATACGTCAATTTTGATTGCTGAAATATTTATGTTTTATTTTATTTGAGAGGTGTAAACTTTTTTATATAACTAAGTAAACAATAGTTTAAACCAAATCGAACCTAAAAAGTTAGTTTGATTTGAAGATTAAAATGATATGGTTTGGATTTTTTTTTTTTCAAACCGTTTTAAATGATTTAGTATGAAATAGATCAAAAATCAACCAACCAAACTATATTCACCCCCAGCTCCACTTAAAAGGACAATATGTATTGTACAAACAAATACCTGAAAATGTATTTTTAAGCAGGACAATATGCACTAAGAAGTAATATCCTGATTCACATTTCAATATCATAAAAGAATCACCAATGGATGATAAGAAAGTGCACACATTTTGTTGTTGAGTGAAACAGTTAAAAAAGTTTCATTGCTCAATAGAAAAGAATACAAACAGGAAATCACAAAACTTGGAACTTTAGCACATCAGAGGCTGAATCAATTAGGTAAAATTTTGTGAAGACGAGTGAAATCAATAACGTCATAAAGAACCATCACCATGCTATAGTGTCAAAATACTTTACATAATGGTTGATATAATGCCACATGACATTCTATCATTGGACTGTTTAAAACATAGTCATCTTTTCCGTCAAATCACTTCCCGCCATCTATGCTTGTGGCACTGCTGGCAAAGTAGCATTATTCACAGAACAATCGGATAACAATACAATCCAAAACTATAAACACTTCAAAAGCAAAATACAATCTCAATTATAAGAAACAAGCTGCAATTGTACAAGTGATGAAACTCAAAAAGGCATTTATGGTGTTGGAGTAAGGTAGAGTTGATTACTGAGATACCTCCTAGTGTTCATGTGTTTCAAAATTCAGTCAATCCATGAGAAAAAATTGCTAAGAATTGGAGCTGCTTCCAGATTTTGCTTTAGCCTGATAATACATAATCCTTGGTGAGTAGTTGCTTAATTGAGACCTATGAACAAGATGACAATGATAGTTTTCGACTAGTAACTAAAATGAGGCTATTCTACTTCAGAATGAAACAATTTTTTTTAAATTTTTTTTA